GACAGGAGGAACATTTAAAATTACCACTTTAGTAGCAGGTGAATGGAGTGGCGCGCGCAACTGACAACAATGTATCCGATACTACAATTCCATTTTCAACACGTCTGTTTACTAGATTTCTTCATTAAGAAAAACTACAACAGCTTTGTGTGTGCGCAGTGTGCTGACTTAGAAGTTCTCTTGTAACTTCTAAGTCTGTTTTCTGATGAGTCATTGTTGGTTTTTTCTCCATTCTGATCGGTTGATCAGCATTTCAGTGAGGCTATGAGTTGGAATTGTCCACAGTAGAGACTTGGCTTGATGCTGAAAGTCTTTGAAGAGTGAAAAGGCCAAAGCCTGGCCTCAGGTTGGGTGAGGCCTAAAAACCTAGACTGAAAAACCATTTTGGCTGGTGACCGAGTGAAGAAGTGTTGAAGAAAAGAAACTAAAGATAAAGATATATACAGTTAAAGTCAGAATTATTAACCCCCCTGAATTATTAGTCCCCCCAACCCCCGTTTATTTTTTCCCCAATTTCTGTTTAACAGAGAGAAGATTTTTTTTTTACATATTTCTAAACATAATAGTTTTATTAACTTATTTCTAATAACTGGTTTATTTTGTCCTTTGTGACAGTAAATAATATTTTACTAGATATTTTTCAAAACAACTCTTTACAGCTTAAAGTGACATTTAAAGGCTGTTAAAGGTAATTAGGCAAGTTCTTGTATAATGAAAGAAATATATAGCCTACAGGGGTTAATAATTTTGACCTTAAAATTGAATTTAAAAACAATTAAAAACTGCTTTTAATGTAGCCAAAAAAAAAAATTTTTGGAAAAAAAATATTATCAGACATACTGAGTTAGCCAATGGGAAGCCAATTTTATGGCCCTTTGTTGATATCTGATGATTTACATATGCTTGTTGAGTAGTGGTTGTAGAGAAATGTTAAAGATTTTATTATTTCAACATGCAATACCAAAATACAATGCATAAAGTTGTTCTTTAAACCACTGTGCATACATACCAAACACTTCTGTTGTGTTGTTTGAGCGTAAGTTGTTAAACTATACGTTTAAGGATTCAAAGAACATTTTAAAGTAAAACACCAGTAAATCATCAACAAACTCTTTTTAACACAGATATGGCATTCTACCCAGGGTAAGAAGAACATGAACATACAAACATGACCATTACATACATTACAACCATTACATAACCATTACATACATTACAACCATTACATACTAGAATATACAGAAGAAATGGCTATTTTTAAAAGGGTCCAGTTCTGTTTGTGTCCTTTTGAGGTTCGCTTATCAAGATGGTGTCCATGGTAAGTCTAACCTAGGGGTGGCTGTTATCACCTCCTGGTTGGATGAGTTTGTGGTTTCTAAGAGCTGCTTAAAAAGTTTATGTAACAATGAAATATATTTCATGAATCATACTGTTTTATAATAATAAAATACTATTATTAATTTCCTCCATCAATAGTTAGGTTTAGCAAAAGTAATATTTTCAGCAAATCTCACTATGGACTTTTCTCACTGGGAGGATTGAATGCGACTAAAGCTGCGGTCACACTAAGCTTTTCTTCCCATAGAATTCCGTTCATACGAACGCGTCAGACCAGAAACGTAGGTCATGCGTCAAGTTTCGCTTGTCGCTGCTTTGCAAAGTTCAAGCTTGGTGAATTCTGACCTGCGATATCGCATCACTTGACTGCGTGACACCAACCAAGGATCAAAACATGACTACTTTGGACAGAAATTTAAAACATGGAGCAATCGCTCGCTTTTTAAAGCCTAATAATCTTGTTTACTCCCGCCTCTTTTCGCAGTGCGGCACAACAGAATTTTACATTATTAAACTCTAGTGTGATCGCACCTTAAGGCTGTGACTAAGGTCTATTTTGTATTTCACTTCAGTGATTCTGCTTGTTAATAAATGGTGTTTATCATAAATGATCAGTAGGCCTGGTCTGCCTCAATCAGTCATTGGACCTAATTAAAATAGTCACAACACGAAATGTGCTAATATTTAACATATGCTTTTTAGAGTGTAAGCTGTGAGAAAATCATTTGTGTGTACTGATAATAGATATGTCTGTTTTCTTTGATTTTGTAGTGCTAGCTCGGCTGGTTTCCGACCTGCAGGCATTTTTACTGGTTTTGGATAGTGAAAATCTCAGTTATATTGCTCAGGCCCAGAAAAAGTCCATCTCAGAGCTACTACATAAACTTCGGGACAATAAGGACAAATCAGGTAACCATTTGATTGTATAAAGTAAATATGTATGCGTATTAGAGACAGAATGTAATGGCCCATATGTCAAAATGTAAATGATGGAAGCCACTTTTAGGGCTGGATTTCTAGTATAAACCTTTTTTTCTGGTAATTTGATTTTAAACTAAATTAAATATGACAATTCCAGTAATTAGATTGTAATCAGATTAATTAAATTATAATTTTTTTGGTCTTACCTGTTCGAAGATTATTTGTTGTCTTGTCCAGTTTAGCTCTGTCGTGTCTCATTTCACCGTGTCTGTATTCATCCTATTGTGCATCGGCTCATCTCTGCTCTGCCCACAGTCTGTGTATAAATGACTCTGGAAGCCCTGTGATCTGCTCACCAGCCTTAAGTTTGTCCAGTTTTTTCACATACATTTTTTTTCATGGGAGGATTCTTTATTTTTGTCCAGTCTAGCATCGCCCATAAGAAGGATGATCTGCCCGACTGATTCTTTTCCTTTAACAAATACATTTATCCCTTGCATTTGGGTCTCCTGCAGGACTGTGACCGAACTATCAAGCCAAGCAATGGACTCAGTGAGGGTATCACCAATCCTCTCCACCGTGGAACATCAGGGAGCAATGTTGGGCAGGCACGCCGAGAAGCTGACAGCTCCTAAGCAGTGGACAGAGATTGTAGGAGCTGTAAAGATTAGCTGGAATGAGAGGAAGTGGGTACCTGTTTTTGATGGCGATCCTGTTCAGGGCATGATAGTCGTAGCATGGGTGTAACCCCAACCCCCCGAAAAAAAAACAATTGTAGAAACAATTATTTTCCCACTTCAAAATTTCCCCATTGCCCCAAGAGAGCACCACCACGCCTGAGTAGGCCACTGGCTGGGCCATGGGACTGGCATTGACAGCCTGAGAAGGAATCGTGTGGAAGGCAGAAGTGCTCATGGTGCCTGTTTGAGTCTACTAGTGTCACATCTGTCAGTGACCACCTGAGGGCGCTGTAGTTCAATGGACACTGAGTGAAACTACATTCTTTCGCACACACCCGGTCTGTCATTTACATTGATTTACAACCACAGCTGTCTCCATTCTCCGTGATTACCAGGACTATATATTCAGCCATTCAACCACTGTTTGTCATTGCGTTGTTTGTCTTTCTTGTACCCAGTAAGTCTGTTTTTTCTAGTTGTTGTTCCTGATCTTGCCTCGTATCTTGCTTTAGTCTAGTTCATGTTTATCTGTCTTAGTTTCTTGTTTTGTTGTTTATTTGTTACTTTGCACTTTGATATTTTGGATTTTTGTTCACTGTTTTTGCACTTTAATATATTAAAATCTGCACTTGAATCCGCTATCTTTTGTTCCCGTTTTGTTATTGTTTTGATCACGCCTAACTGACAGAACGACGCGATCACTATGGATTCAGCAGATAATATTCTAGTGCGTATTAAGCAGGGTAACCGCTCCGTTGAACGTTTCATTAAGGAGTTGAAGTACGTTCAGCGACTTGCTGTTAATGATGTATTTCCGGGAAGGACTTTTAGAACCAGTCCGATTTCAAATGCCATCTTATGAGGAGGACTGGAGCCTCTATCGTTTCATGGAGCATGCGCTGTTGATGTCTGGCTCTCCTCTCTCTATCACCTTGGTGGAGCAGAATCCTCAGGAGGGAGGCCTGAGTAATTCACAGCAAGATCTGTTTTCGGGGCCTGCTGATCTAGCCGCAGGAGGAAAGAGAAATGCTGGATTGAAGCTACGGGCTTATCCATGTCGGGCGATTCGGAGATCATCTTTTTCGGAGCCTCTGGAGAGGCTCCTGGAACTCTGTGAAACCCCAGTGTCTGCTCCAGTCCCTCAGCGCCCGCCAGTGTCTGTTCCAGTCCCAGAGCATGCTCCTCTTCCGGTTTACAACGCTCCTCCTAGTACTCAGACAACCAGACGGAGGACGCGCAGGAAGAGGACTGCCCATACCCCAGAGTGCCCGCCAGTGTCGGCTCCAGCCCCAGAGCGCCCGCCAGTGTCGGCTCCAGCCCCAGAGCGCCCGCCAGTGTCGGCTCCAGCCCCAGAGCGCCCGCCAGTGTCGGCTCCAGCCCCAGAGCGCCCGCCAGTGTCGGCTCCAGCCCCAGAGCGCCCGCCAGTGTCGGCTCCAGCCCCAGAGCGCCCGCCAGTGTCGGCTCCAGCCCCAGAGCGCAGTACAGTGCCGGTTCCTGTCCGGCTCCTGGCTTTACCGGCTCCTTGCCCTGACGGTCCCAGCCCGGCTCCTGGCTTTACCATCACCATCCAGATGTCTTGCCCTGCCGGCGCCTCCCAGACGTCTTGCCCTGCCAGCCCCAGTCCGGCTCCTTGTCCTGCCGGCTCCAGTCCGGCTCTTTGCTCTGCCGACCTCGCTCGGGCTCCTTGCTCTGCCTGCTCCAGCCCAGCTGCCTCCTGTCCCACCGGCTCCAGCCCAGCTGCCTCCTGTCCCGCCGGCTCCAGTCCAGTTGCCTCTCCAGCTGGCTCTCCTGGACTCCCCTGCCTTTTGTTTTCTGCAGGATCATCCGTGGGTCATCCCTCCTGCCCCTCCCTGGTGGTCCTTACCATTGTTTGGGACGGATTCCCCGGCTGCACCCTGGCTTCCTGCCGGGCGCCTGACCCACAGACTCACCCTGATCTGGCCCTCCCATCCCTCCCTTTGTTCCTGCTCCGCTCTGCCCCCCCTCTGGGAACTAGTCTGGGAGCGTCTGGAAGCCGCTCTTTAGAGGGGGGGGGGGGGGTAATGTCACATCTGTCAGTGACCACCTGAGGGCGCTGTAGTTCAATGGACAAACTACAAACTACATTCTTTCGCACACACCCGGTCTGTCATTTACATTGATTTACAACCACAGCTGTCTCCATTCTCCGTGATTACCAGGACTATATATTCTGCCATTCAACCACTGTTTGTCATCGCGTTGTTTGTCTTTCTTGTACCCAGTAAGTCTGTTTTTCCTAGTTGTTGTTCCTGATCTTGCCTCGTATCTTGCTTTAATCTAGTTCATGTTTATCTGTCTTAGTTTCTTGTTTTGTTGTTTATTTGTTACTTTACACTTTGATATTTTGGATTTTTGTTCACTGTTTTTGCACTTTAATATATTAAAATCTACACTTGAATCCGCTATCTTTTGTTCCCGTTTTTGTTATGGTTTTGATCACGCCTAACGTGACAACTAGGGCCTGAAATGGGTCGTTACTGCTCATCCTGGCTGTTCAAGTCCAGCCTTCTGTCACAAGACTGACTTGACAAGGATAGAATGTATGAACACACAATTGAATTAGATGCCAGTATAAATATATAATAGATGCCAGTGGCTGGATGAAGATGACCGGAGAATGGATGTAACAATACAGGAGGAGACCAGACACAGGGGAGACTACGATGACCAGACAAGGAACCAGGAGAAGCCACATTAAAGAGGAGAGATGCAGACACTGGAGATCACATGGGAAAATGAGGTAAGTCCTGCAACTAGTATTAATACACTGACGGTGTGGAAAGTGCAGCTCTTTCATGTTGTGATAAGGCCGGACACTGAGTGGAGTGGGGTGACTGGTTTTATGAAGCAGTGAGAATAACGTGCAGGTCCAGGGCTAATTAGGAAGCAGGTGACTGGGAACGGTGCGTTTGTGATGATTGGGAGTGGGGAGAACCTGGCCTGGATGTGACACGGTCAGACGAACTTAAGTTATAGGTCTTGTCAACGCTACCCCTGGAACACAATATTTGAAGTTAGATAAATTATGGAAGATGCAAGTTGTGATTTTGACATCCTTTGAACAAATATGGCAGAGTAGAACATCTAGTACAAATTCAAAGACATACATATAACAAACTTCAAATGCCAAACTAAAGAAAAATACATTACCAAAAAAACATCTTTAAAATGTGGATAGAAAACAGAAAAATAGAGAACAGAAAATAAAAGTAATTGTAAAAAAAAAAAAATAATAATTGGAAAATGTCAGATGTATACGTAACATACAGTAGATGAGAGTTCGATGTGGCATATACCGCCGCCGCTTTAAATGGGCAAGCACGTGTTTTTTAATGTATGACTGCAGTTTGTGAATATGCTGCTAGGGGGCACGTAGAGACGGGATGCGTACAGACAGAAACAGCCTATACAGCAGCTGTAAATATGCTACTGTATTTATAAATGAAGATGAAACGATAAAACAAAGCATTATAATTCCTTCATTAATCATTAAAAATTTGTTAACACGCTTTATTATCATTGTAAACTTCATTCATTTTCTTGTCGGCTTAGTCCCTTTATAAATTCGGGGTCGCCACAGCGGAATGAACCGCCAACTAATCCAGCACGTTTTTATGCAGCGGATGCCCTACCAGTCGCAACCCATCTCTGGGAAATATGTAAACTTGTTAGGTGCAATAAAGATTCATTTTAGAAAGTATGAATGAAGAAATAAAGGACAACTAAAATGAAAGGACAAACATTAAGTACAAATAGGCTAAATAAATAAATAAAGCAGTCTTTTAGCCTAAATATAGAGAGATGGGGTCTGTTCTTTGTACCTCGCTTAAATGATCTAAGAATATTTGGCAGATCCTGGATCTTTTAATCTTGATAACTGATCTCTCGCTAATTTGGTTCTTCAAACAAGTTCGCGAATCAGATTAGAATATCTGGATGAACTGATCTAAGATCGCTGTGTGTGTTGTGAAGGGCAGATCTATCGATCCTCGAAATCATGATCAGCAATACAACGATTGGCTGACGACACAGCAGCGTAATGACATCATCTGATTAATATTCAATTATCCATGTGAGAAAACTTACATCAAATTAGCAGTAAACGGATGTTAAATGTGACACGCTGCACGCAATAACCTTCCACATTTGTTGTGAGCTGCAGGCTTTACACTTTCATGTGTCAAGAGTATTCATCATGTATTACAATGCAAATCAGTGTATTTAGTTCTACATTTAGAAAAGATTTTCTTTATTATAGCAGCCGTTTTTTAATAGGTGTAAAGAATAACTGGTTGTTTACAAAAGCATTTTGATATTGGTAAAGGCATCTGCAACTTTTGTGAAGCATCAAATCACCGGCATATTAACTATCAAAACATGTTTATGACTGCATAAATGTATTATTGATTTTTTTTTTTAAAAAGTCACATATTGTGCATTTCTATTGTACACAATTTGTACTAAAGCGATCTAAAAAGTTCATATCAATAAGTTTTCTCTTTGCACCACCAGGTGGCAGTCTTTGTATTTTCATTTCGAGGGTGCAGATTGCATAAGTTTTAATAATATGCATAACTTTATTTATTTTATTAATGACTATAACTTTATATATATTGTTAAAAAATATGTACCATTTTCCCAAGTGTATATAACTATTACTGTAAGAAAATATCAGAATTCGGAACATACTTTCTGTATTATCTTTGCTTGAACTAAGCCGATCTAATCCTGTTTATATGAATTGAACCTGCTCCCGATCAGGTTTGACCTAGCAGAACTGTTGCTATGACAACAACTCTCGGATCAGCTTTGAAGAACGAAACGATCCTGGATCGTGTCAAATCGTCAATATCCAAATCCAGCTAATTGAGTAATCCATGTACGAAGAACGGACCCCTGTTCAGTGTTTGCTATTTTTATAGGAATAAGACAGTCATTAAATAAGCATTTTCAATTGTTTTTTTATTTAAATTTTCATTGTTGATTATATTTTACTATCTCATTTGTCTCAATTATTGTACATAATATTAAACAAATAATGAATAATAAATAAATAATAAAAATAGGCCTAAATATTTATTTATTTAAAGACATTGCAGCAAAACACTTAGAAACGGTCCGGCACATGGTCTAAAGAGCTTAAGTTGAATGCTGCTTTATCAAAAGCATAAAAATAAAAAGATTACTAAAAGTATAATAAAAATAATTTTGCCGCAGAACATAAATAATAAGCATAAGTTTATTTTTAATAATTTAGTTTCAGTTCAGTTTTTTTTGTTTTTCAAAACGTCAATTTTCTCCTTTAAAGTATAATTATTGTTTTGTTTTTTTACTTGTAGTAATGGCTCAGTACATTTTGTATTTTAACTTCAATTTCAGTCACATTGCGTGTGAAATATAATGCGCGCATAATCGCGTAGAACGAAAAAAAGCTGTCAAAAGGTAGAGCTAATTCATCAAAATTAGCTATTTTAAAATACAGCATGATTGTTAATACAGGTAGAATGTGAACAACCTCAGGGTAAGGCTATGATATGCGCTTGCTTTTCAATGCATTTAAAAAGATTTGCGGTGAACAAATAAGTGGTTTAAGCCAAAGAGTTGTTTAGATTAAAGAATATATTTTTTAGCATACGTTTATTACATGCAGCGCTGTATTTTGGTAGCACAAAAAAAAATCGCTTTATATGTGCACCTATAAACAAGTCAAATGAATGACTGAGGGAGTTAATTAAATAAATATGGATTCTTAAATGTCGGTATTGTTTCTAATAAAAAAAATAACAAATGTTTAAAAAAAAAGAAAATGAGCAAATTTCAACAGCTAAACTTTTCAGTTAAATAAACGTTGGACATTTATGGGGCCATATAACATGTTTTTAGTAGTGCTGTCAAATCGATAAAAAAAATTAACTAATTAATCGCACCTTTTTAAAAAAAATTTATCTCGATTAATCGCATTTAAGATACTGAAACTTGTAATTTTGGCTATTCAAATGTAAAATAATGTAAACGCGAGACAAAAAATATGTAAATTCAAAATATAATTGTTTATTAGGATTAAAATTTAAAATATAATTGTTTAATAGAATTTTTGTTTTATTTGTAACACAGATTTCTTCATGTAAACAACATACCCACAATAAACCATCAAGATCCTGGCTTGACAGCCATATTTAATGAAGAAATTAAAACACAGGCCTGTTAATGACATTTAAATGTCAAAACAATCAATGGCAATTAAAAAAAACATTGATTGCAAAAAACATTGCAAAAAAAAAAGCCAAAATACAGGAATTGCAGATATGGAAAATGAAAAATTATAATAATAAACAATAGAATACAAACTGTTGCACTCAGTAAAGTTTTATTGCTGTGAGTTGAGAACATTAGTTATAGAGTAGAAACAATTTTGCTTAATCCTCCTTTACATTCACCCAGTTGCTAAGACTAGGAGTATCCCGCAAGTGCACAGAGACTCCCAAATGCCCACAAATGAATGCTAATAACTCGCAAACCGGTCGTTAAATACATTGCACACGCCTCTCCCCTGCATCCCTTCTAGCTCTTCAGGTAGCCTATGTCGCATGCAACTTACCCCCACGTCCTTCAGGTACGTCTCGCGCGCACACGCCCCTATTAAGAAACGTCGCTCACTCCACCCCTGACACCCCTCAACGGGCCTGACACAGACTCACACACAGACACACACACAACGGCCTTCCATACTGGGGCGACTCCCCTCAGATTCAACACGCATGATCACGTTCATAAAATTTGCTTAAACTAAGCATTCTAAAGTATTACTGTATTTCACAAGGATTCTGACACAACAACGCAAAGCATAAGCTTTCGTTGCGTTTAATGAGGAAACACGCTAAACTTGGACGGCTCATGCTGAAAGGTAGAGTAATGCCCTGTCTTTGACAGCTCGCGACTTCAACAGAGACTTTCTGAGTTCAAGTACATAAGACACCAATACTCCGATTTTATTATGATTAAGATTATACTCTTATTAAAAGTCTACCGTTTAGCCTAAGCAGCAATTTTATTACCCCAAAGCAACACCGAGTCAAGAAATGCGGAGGATTTTCTTTCTGTTCGCCATGCGGTATCAACTTACAACAGAAATCGAAAGTTAAAAATGAAACACCCGAAATTGCATGAAACTCTGAATAACCTGTGATGCAACTAATTGTTTTATACTGGAACTTGCCTTCAAAAAGTGCTTCCTTGGATTTATCCACATTTCTTGCATGTTAAACACACGTCCACCACAACAGGAAGTAAAAAAAACCTGCAACTGCGTAAATTTCTTTTAACGCGTTAATTATTTAAAATTAATCGCATGCGTTAACGCACTAATTTTGACAGCGCTAATATATATATATATATATATATATATATATATATATATATATATATATATATTAATATTAATCTGACCGGTTAAGGGTTATTGGCTGTTTGGGAAACAAGCAGGGATTATTAAAAAATATATATATATTATTTTTTAATGCAATAAAGCGAATATCTTAGCCTTACCCTGGGGTTTGTTTGCCCTCCATCTATGCTAACAGAATATATTAACACTAGCCTATCTTTTTTTTAATCTAGCTATTAATTTATGTTATGTAACTAGCTCATCTGATGTTGCATAATATTTACATAGCACGTGGTTGTGCTTTCTGCAATGTCGTCTTTTCACAGTGAGAACGCGGCTGCTTCTCTTGTGCACCA